ACGTATCTAGTTAAGGTAGTGCCTCAATGTAATTTTTTCTCCTAAACCTAAACCTGTAACTTTCGGCCTAAACCTGTAACTTTCGGCCTAAACCTGTAATTTTCGACCTAAGCCTGTACCGACCCAAGCCTGTAAATCTCGACTTAAGTCCTATACGTTCGACCTAAACCTGTACTTTCGACCTAAACCTGTACTTTCGACCTAAACCTGTACTTTCTACCTAAACTTGAACTTTCGACGTAAACCTTAAACTTATACTGAAGCGCAACGATCAACCTTCGTATATGTGTGTGTGTGTGTGTGTGTGTGTGTGTGTGTGTGTGTTTGGTATGGAGAGATGGTAGTGTGAGTGGTTTTCCCAGATCTGGCTAAGAGGAAAATCAAATATGTGTTTGGAATGTTAAGTTGAGAGCGAGAACCACGAGCCATTTGTCCGAGTGTGGCTTATGTAAGAACTTGAATGTGGCTTACGTGATGACTTGAGTGGGTTTACGTGAGAACTTGAGTGTGGTTTAATAAGAACTTGAGTGTGGTTTATGTAAGAACTTGAGTGTGGTTTAATAAGAACTTGAGTGTGGTTTATGTAAGAACTTGAGTGTGGTTTATGTAAGAACTTGAATGTGGCTTACGTGAGAACTTGAGTGGGGTTTATGTAAGAACGTGAGTGTGGTTTATGTAAGAACTTGAGTGGGGTTTATGTAAGAACCGGAGGTGGTTTATGTAAGAACTTGAATGTGGCTTACGTGAGAACTTGGAGGGGTTTATGTAAGAACTTGAGTGTGGTTTATGTAAGAACTTGAGGGGTTTACGTGAGAACTTAAGGAGGTTTACTATACGACATAAAACTTTAACTTGAGTGTGTGGTTTATACAAGAACTTGAGTGTGGTTTATGTAAGAACTTGAGTGTGGTTTTTGTAAGAACTGAGTGTGGTTTATGCAAGAACTTGAATGTGGTTTATATAAGAACTTGAGTGTGGTTTATGTAAGAACTTGAGGTGGTTTTTGTAAGAACTGGAGTGTGGTTTATGTAAGAACTTGAATGGCTTACGAGAACTTGAGTGGGGTTTATGTAAGAAATTTAGTGTGGTTTATGTAAGAACTTGAGTGGGGCTTACGTGAGAACTTATGAGGTTTACATACGACAAAACTTTAACTTGAGTGTGTGGTTTATAAAGAACTTGAGTGTGGTTTATGTAAGAACTTGAGTGTGGTTTATGTAAGAACTTGAGTGTGGTTTTGTAAGAACTTGAGGTGGTTTATGTAAGAACTTGAATGTGGCTTACGAGAACTTGAGTGGGTTTATGTAAGAACTTGAGTGTGGTTTATGTAAGAACTTGAGTGGGGTTTACGTGAGAACTTAAGGAGGTTTACATACGACACAAAACTTTAACTTGAGTGTGTGGTTTATACAAGAACTTGAGGTGGTTTATGTAAGAACTTGAGTGTTGTTTGTAAGAACTGGAGTGTGGTTTATGCAAGAACTTGAATGTGGTTTATATAAGAACTTGAGTGTGGTTTATGTAAGAACTTGAGTGTGGTTTACCATAACTTGGTAATATCTTTTGTTTTATCAAATGTTCTCAAGTGAATTTCTGTCATCTTGTTCATCAATGTACAAGTCATCACTCAAGAGGTTAAGTCATCATACACAAGGATTAAGTCATCGTACTAAGGGGTTAAGTCATCGTACCAGGGGTTTAGTCATCACACTCAAGAGGTTAAGTCATCATACTCAAAGGGTTAAGTCATCGTACTCAAGGGGTTAAATCATCGTACTCAAGGTTGATGTCATCACACCAAGAGGTTAAGTCATCGTACTCAAGGTAAATCATCGCACTCAAGGAATTAAGTCATCATACTAAAGGGCTAAGTCATCGTACTAATGGGTTAAGTCATCGTACTCAAGAGGTTAAATCATCATCGTACTCATGGGTTAAGTCATCGTACTCAAGAGGTTAAATCGTCGTACTCAAGGTTAAATCATCGTACCTAACAGGTTAAGTCATCGTACTCAAGGAAAATCATCGTTATCAAGGAGTTAAGTCATCGTTATCAAGGGGTTAAATCGTCGTACTGAAGGGGTTAAATCATCGTACTCAAGGGGTTTATCAAAGAGAAACAATTTTACGTTTCTTTGACGATTAATGAATAAACTATAAATAAAACTTTCAGGAAAACAATACAACTTAGACTTAGAACACACACACACACACACACACACACACACACACACAACAGCGGGTGCAATAAACAAAAATGATTCAGTTTGTTTCATAAAGAGTTTGTAACATTTTCTTGTGGCTACTAAGATACAATTTGTGCTTGAGATACGTTCACTCCTGCTTGTGTGAGTGGGTGGGTGAGGGTGGTGGGTGAGGGTGGTGGTGAGGGTGGTGGTGAGGTGGTGGTGAGGGTGGTGGTGAGGGTGGTGGTGAGGGTGGTGGTGAGGGTGGTGAGGGTGGTGGTGAGGGTGGTGGTGAGGGTGGTGGTGAGGGTAGTGGTGAGGGTGGTGAGGGTGGTGGTGGAGGGTGGTGGAGGGTGGTGGTGAGGGTGGTGGTGAGGGTGGTGAGGGTGGTGGAGGGTGGTGGTGAGGGTGGTGGTGGGAGGGTGGTGGTGAGGGTGGTGGTGAGGGTGGTGGTGAGGGTGGTGGTGAGGGTGGTGGTGGAGGGTGGTGGTGGAGGGTGGTGGTGAGGGTGGTGGTGAGGGTGGTGGTGAGGGTGGTGGTGAGGGTAGTGGTGGAGGGTGGTGGTGGGAGGGTGGTGGTGAGGGTGGTGAGGGTGGTGGTGAGGGTGGTGGTGAGGGTGGTGAGGGTGGTGAGGGTGGTGGTGAGGGTGGTGGTGAGGGTGGTGGTGAGGGTGGTGAGGGTGGTGGTGAGGGTGGTGGTGAGGGTGGTGGGTGAGGGTGGTAGGGTGGTGGTGAGGGTGGTGAGGGTGGAGGGTGGTGGTGAGGTGGTGGTGAGGGTGGTGGGGAGGGTGGTGGTGAGGGTGGTGAGGGTGGTGGGAGGGTGGTGAGGGTGGTGGTGAGGGTGGTGGTGAGGGTGGTGGTGAGGGTGGTGAGGGTGGTGGTGAGGGTGGTGAGGGTGGTGGTGAGGGGTAATGGTGGGTGAGGGGTGTGAGGGGTGACGGGTGGTGTTGGTATAGTGGTAGGTGAGGGTGGTTGTGGTAGTGGTGGGTGAGGATGGTAGTGGTGGTGGATGGTAGAAGTGGTGGTGAGGGATGGTGGTAGTGGTGGTGGTGGTTGAGAGTGATGATGTCTTCTACCTGCCCCCCTCTCAGCCCTCTCCCTGCCCCTCCCTCAGCCCCCTCTCCCTGCCCCTCCTCAGCCCTCCCTCTCATCTCTTCACCACGTCACTGACACACACACACAGACACACCATCAAGTAAACTCTCTCCTTCTCGTATGACGTCTCTAAGAGCAATGATCATGGCCTTTTATTGGTGTTCGCTCACCGTGGTGGACCAATAGCAACTCTGGCGGCCTCTTATTGGTGGTCGGTCACTGTGCTCCGTCCAATAGGGTGACTCCATTGCCCCTGAACTCCGTAATGGCGATCCTCACACAAGAGTTGAATGACTGGGACGACACACACACACACACACACACACACACACACACACACACACACACACACACACACACACACACACACACACACACACACTTTGGTCTCCATTCTCCACCTGCTCTCGCCTCCTCCCCAGACCTGTCACCTCAGCAAGGGATTATACTGGAGACCTCGGCTGGCTGTGGCTGGCTGTGGTTGTGGCTGTGGTTGTGTCTGTGGTTGGTTGTGGTTGGGCATGGTTGGCTGTGGGTGTGCTTGGCTGTGACTATGGTTGGGTATGGTTGTGGTTGGCCATGGGTGTGGTTGGCTGTGGCTGGTTGTGTTGACATACACACATATAAAAAAGAGAAAAAAAAAAAGAGAGAGAGAGAGAGAGAGAGAGTTGTCGATAAGCCTGAACAAATGCTTCCATCTGCGGCGTTTCAAGAAAACAAACGTGCGCTCGGCTACGTGAATCCGAACACTGCCCCTCACCCATTTAAGCTGTCCGAACACCCCTCTCACCAATCTAAGCTGCCCCCTCACTCCTTTCATCCATCTAAGCTGTCCGAACACTCTCTCACCAATCTAAGCGCCCTCACTTCCTCTCACCAATCTAAGCTGCCCCCTCACTCCTCTCCTCTCACCAATCTAAGCTGCCCCTCACTCCTCCTCACCAATCTAAGCTGCCCCTCACTTCCTCTCACCAATCTGCTGCCCCCTCACTTCCTCTCACCAATCTGCTGCCCTCACCTCTCATCCATCAAAGCTGCCCCCTCACTCCCTCTCATCCATCTAAGCTGCCCCCACTCCTCTCACCAATCTGCTGCCCCTCACTCCCTCTCACCAGTCTAAGCTGCCCCCTCACTTCCTCTCACCCATTTAAGCTGCCTAAATACTCCCTCTCATCCATCAAAGCTGCCAAGCGTGACCAGTAAACTCAAAAAGCTTTAATGTGATCTAAGAAAATAATAGAAAAATATGTAGATGTTGTGTTTGTCTTATATGTTGAAGACACACACACACACACACACACACACACACACACACACACACACACACACACACACACACACACACACACACACACACACACACTACATATTATCTATCTTGCGTTACGTGAAGATTAGACACCCCAGCTTATTTAACCTGACGATTAAATACCCCAATATTAACCAAACCTAACCTAACCCAACCCAGGCAACCCAACCCAACCTAACCTAACCTATCCCATCCAGGTAGATATATCATTAAGGCGTTTAATCTTCAGGTAAACTAAACTATGATCATTAACTAATAATAATCATCACCTGACTCTTAATTAGATTTATAAATAACCCAATTATATATATTTACCTTTAATTAATTACATATATCTAATTAGTAAGTTAATTTTATGCGTGTTTGTCTGTTTGTGTTTATGTCAACAAGTCAGTTATCTTCTTCTTTCAGCTCCGGATGTTATCAACGCTATCAGGTGGTCAGGTCGACTCGATCGAACATTCAAGTCAAACTACGAACTGGATCCGACACTTTCCTGGCAGTACTTTGGGTCCTCTACTGGCTTCCTCAGACAGTACCCTGGTAAGTATTTGGGTTAAGGACAGTGACCCAGGGTGGTTAGAGAGAGAGAGAAAAAAAGAGAGAGAGAGAGAGAGAGAGAGAGAGAGAGAGGGAACCAGAGTGAATCCTAAATGAAACCCAAATGAACCCAAAGTGAATCTGAATGAACCCAGATGGAATTCCAATTGAACCTTAGAGTGAATCCTAGTGAACCTAGAATGAAGACCCAAATGAACCTGAATGAATCCCAAATGAAACTCAAAATGAACCCCTCCCCCAAAAGAGTGATCCCTTGAATGAATCGCAATAAAACTAAGAATAACCCCTCCCTCCAAAAAAAACCCCTAAATGAACCCAGAGTGAACCCAGCAGACAGGTGAGCTTATCTGTCCTGGAGGCGTCGAAGTTTTTCCCAGGTAAGGTTAATTAACATGATGTAATTTTAGGTAGTATGTCACTGAGCCCGGGGCCATGCTGTTTACCTGCATGAACACACACACACACACACACCACTCTTCCCTCTCCACAGCATCGGAGTGGGTTATCCTCGTGCCCCCCACTCACCATTCTTCCCTCTCTACAGCATCGGAGTGTTATCCTCGTGCCCCATCATCCCTCTCCACAGCATCGGAGTGGGTTATCCTCGTGCCCCACCACCCCTCTCCACAGCACGGGAGGATTATCCTCATGCCCCCACTCACCACTCTTCCCTCTCCACAGCATCGGCGTGGGTTATCCTCATCCCCCCACTCTTCCCCTCTCCACAGCATCGGAGTGGGTTATCCTCATACCCCCACTCACCACTCTTCCCTCTCCACAGCATCGGAGTGGGTTATCCTCATACCCCCCACTCACCGCCTCTTCCCTCTCCACAGCATCGGAGTGGGTTATGGACGAGAAGGACCCTGACCTATATGATGCTCGTCTTAGATCCTGGTATATCGAAGCAGCCAACAGCCCAAAGGATATGGTGATCCTACTTGACGTCTCCGGTGAGTCTCTTGTCTCTTTATCTCTCTCTCTCTCTCTGTGTTTTACTGTCTCTTTATCTCTACCTGTCTCTCTCTCTTTATCTCTCTCTCAATCAATATGTCTTTCTCTTGTCTCTTTATTTTTCTCACTCGCTTTATCTCTCTCTGTCTCCATCTCTCTCCGTCACTTTATCTGCGTGTGTGTCTTTCTGTCTCCTTATCTCTCTCACTCACTTTCACTCTCTCTTTCCTTCTGTCTCTTTATCTCTCTCTCTATTTTCTGTCTCTTTCTACTTCTCAATTCTTCTGTCTCTCATTTTATCGAGATCTGTTTCGTGTCTGTCATTATCGCTATCTCTCTGTCTATCTCTCCCTGTCTATCTCTCTCTGTCTATCTCTCCCTGTCTCTAAATATTCTAATAGATTCATAAGTCAATCTTCCTCTTACGTCACAAAGATGGCGGAGAATATACGCTGAGACTTGACCATAAGGAGATGATTATTTTGTTTTGTTATTATTTAAGGTGTTTGTTGTTATTGATGACAGGTGAGTTAATTAGTATATTCAGGTGTTTGTTTTGTCCTCTCTCTCTCCTCTCTCTCTCTCTCTCTCTTATTCTTCTTTTCGTTTATATTCTTATTCTCCCTCTCATTTGCCCTCTCTCTTATTTACACTCTTTTACCTCCCTCTCTTATTCATACTCTCTGTCTACCCCCCCTCTCTATCACTCATTCTTACACTCTTCCTTCCCTTCTCCTCCCCACACACTTTCCTCCCCCCCCACTCACGCACTTTATCTCCTCTCACCTCTCACTCTCTTCCTCCCTCTCCTCCACACTTTCTCTATCTCCTCTCCCCCATCTCCCTCTACTCATGACTACCCCTCTCCTCCATCTGCCCCCCTCTCTCCCACCTGCCTCCCTCTCCTCCCCACTCCACCACTCTCCCACTCTCTACAGGATCGATGACGGACTAAGAGGAATCGCTAAACACGTGGTCTTGAACATCTTAGAGACACTCAATGAGAATGATTTCGTCAACGTGTTTAACTTCAGCCTTAAGACAGTCGAGCTGGTCCCTGTTTTGAGACACATTGGTCAGAGTTCGTCTTATCAGGGGTGTAGTGTTTGTATACGTGTGGTGTTTGTGTACGTAAGAGTGTAGTGTTTGTGTACGTGTAGGTGTAGTGTTTGTATGCTGGAGGTGTAGTGTTTGTGTACGTGTAGTGTTTGTGCTTGCTTGGGTGTAGTGTTTGTGTGTACGTTGGAGGTGTAGTGTTTGTGTATGGTGTATGCGTGAAATTGTAGTTTGTGCGTGTGGTGTTTGTGTACGTAGGTGTAGTGTTTGTACGTGTGGTGTTTGTGCATGTGATGTAGTGTTTGTGTACGTGTGGGTGTAGTGTTTGTGTACTGAGTGTAGTGTTGCTTGTGGGTGTGTGTTTGTGTGCTTGTGGGTGTAGTGTTTGTGTGTACGTGGAGGTGTAGTGTTTGTGTACGTGGAGGTGTAGTGCTTGTGAGGTGGAGTGAGTGTAGTGTTTGTTATCGTTTGGTGTTTGTGTACGTGGGTGTAGTGTTTTGTGTACTTTTAGTGTAGTGTTTGTGTACGTGTGTTGTTTGTGTACTTAGGTATAGTGTTTGTGTACTTTTGAGTGTAGTGTTTGTGTACTTGTGGGTGTAGTGTTTGTGTACTTGTGAGTGAAGTGTTTGTGTGTGGGGATGTACATACATCTGTCCACTTAATGTCTACGTCTGTATACTGGGTGTAGATCTGTGTACTAAGTTTGTGTGTATGTATGTATATATGTATGTATGTGTATACAGTACGGCATTCTTGTCTTCTATGAATATTTTGAATATTTGTTCACGTGCTGTTAAGTTTGTGTGACAATGATATTTAGACCCACAAGCACACACAGATACATACATACATACATACATACATACATACATACATACATACATATATACATTCATACATACATACATACATACATACACTACAAAAGCCAAAATCTACATGTACTGTATTCTAATCTCTGGCAACTACAGGCTAATCTGGAGAACCTGGGAGAGTTTAAGAAGGCGCTCAACTTCGGGGAGACGAAAGACATTGCCAATTTCACACAGGCATTAACCCAAGCCTTCGAACTCCTCCAACGGGTAAGTAATGTATGATCTTATCTATGTCTCTCTCTCTGTTATCTCTCTTATCAACCCATGTGTCTCTCTCTCCCTTCTCCCTCACCTCTATAAAGGTCTTGGTATTATGGTGTTCAATTTATTATGGCTTAATTTCCTCCATTTCCCCCACCCTATTTGATGCCTATTTGTTATTATCATTGTTTTTATCCCAGTTCCCCCTCCCTCCTAATTAATGTCTTCGTTATTTTGTAAAGAAATATATTAGTCTTGTATATTTAATTATAATTTTTTTCCTGCATAAAATTTAGTGAAAAAAATTACATAATTTTTCTTCATAATTTCTCCCCCAAAAAACTAATATTATTTGTTATTTTCTATTCTCGTTTATCAAGTTATCTGTTTCCTCCTTTATTCTCAGGTAGATAATTATTATATACTAATAATAATCGTTTTTGTCAATCTATTCACACCAATTGGTAATGTTGACGGTAATTAAAAACATAACTACCATTAACAAATATAACACAATTTCGTATTTTTTAACATGTCCAAATTTAACACCTGACATTAACTTATGATTTAGTGTATGATGGTATGATGATCCTATGTATATTATGGTATCATTCTTTTCCTGTATGATATATTATAATACATTGTAATTTACATTATATTTCTCCCATTTCATTTACAGCATAATTATTCAATATAATTTACAGTATAATCATCCCATATAATTATTTTCCAATACAATTTACAGCATAATTCTATATAATTTACAGTATATTTTATCGTATATAATTTATAGTATAATTTTCCCCATTGCATTTAATTCTCTCCTCTAGTATTGCTGTATAATTTCCCCACTATGAATTATAGCAGAACTGATGGATTCACTTACGCGCCACCTAGCAGATGGAAACTGTTCTAACGTGTATAAAACTCCCTCACCAGTAACCAACCGAATCACAAGAGTTCGAATCAGTGAGGTCGAATCAGTGAAGCAACTGGGCCATTAAGACACTTCAATTATTTCACTAATTCAACCTCATGTGATTCGTACTCACACTGTGGTTGATTACTGGATGGGACTTCTGTTCACGAATAGTACAAGTTGTCTTTCGGTTTATAACACTGTGTGGACCGGTGGTATTAACTGGTCAATATGGATTTCATTTTGAACAGGTGTATAATTAACTGCCCTCACTTCCTCAGCTTATTTCACCTGATGATTAACTACCCTAAAGTTAACCTAACCTAACCTGACCACCCTCACACTAATTTATCCTAATCTAACGTAATCTAACCTAATCTGATCTATCCTAACTTAACCTGACCTAACCTAATCTAATTCGATCTAACTTAACCTAACCTAGCTTACCCCCCCCCCCCCTCCGAGGTAGCATTAGGGGGTTTAATCATCAGGTGAAATTAGCTAGGGTGAACCTATGGTGCTTGAAGGCTTGTATCATGTGCTAGAGGAATTACAGCTCATTTATGTATGATTTCGTATTTAAGGAGGTAAGATACAGTCACAAAATACAGTTGTAGATGTGGTTACAGTTGACTACAGACACACAGGTAAGTACAAGTTCATTTATCATTGTATTACGACCTTATTTTTTTTTTTCTATTTTTATTTACTGAAGTCTTCTCCTCAGAGTCAAAACGAAACGTAATATGAATCATTGAATCGTACGTGAAGTAGTTCCAGAGTCGATAACATAACAAACCTCTAACTAATATAACGAAATATCCTTACACTAATAACATAAGTTGAAAATAATAGTTATCACTTACTTTATAGATTAGATAAGGCCAGTCAAACTTAACAAAAAGAGTTCCGTAATCCGAAGAAATGAGTCAGGAGGGTGAGACAATCGACGTGCGCTCTCATCCCCGTCCAACAAACGACTGACCGTTAAATGTTTCTCTCTAAAGTAATATTTCGTGTCAAAAAGTTATCAAGAATGAATGATCAATAATGGATTTTAAAATTAATCAAAATAATATATATATGGTAACTTTCCTCGACAAACCACACGCGTCTTTAAAATAATGGTGGTTTGAACTGTTTCTTTTGTCCATAACGGGAAGCAGTAGCCCTCCTCATTCCTCCCGTCTCCTCTTAAGATATCAAGTTACCAATACTAAAATAATATGGATCAAGTAGCCGGAATACTGGTGGAAGGTATATATAGGAAAATGCACACTAGAATAAGTTGCTCGACACAGATCCAGACCGGTGTAAGGTAAAGACATTGGACCCTCCCAAATGCTACCGCTAGATTGACTGCAACTGTGTTTTAGAACTTATTTCACCTCCTAATATATTAAATCGTATAACTCGAAAACACAATTTACTTAAAAAAAAATTATACAAACTATCAAAAGGCCGAGTATTGACCAGTTTGGTAACGCATCCTAACACGATGTTTACACCCAACCTCGTGACGTCGTAAGTTTAATCTGCCAGGCGACTCGTAACTTAAGTCTCGTCAATTCTTCTGTATAATTTTCAGTTTAATGTAGTCGCTTATTCGCTGGCACTTATACATAGCACAGTTACTGGTGTGTTTTGCGAGATGTGGCAATGTTGTGGAATGTTTATCTAACTGTCTTTAGTCTGGTTACTACTACGAGGTTCCTTCGGGCCAATGCGAGAGTTTGAATTCGATGTAAACAAACGCAGTGGTGCCACATCTCACAAAACACACTAGTAATTGTACCAGGTGTAAGTGGAGCCGACTGTACCTGAGTGACTGTTGCCTCTTAAGGTGATAAAAGTTAATCGTTGTTATTTTCTTCTTTCTCGTCTGATACTTTTCCTTCCCTGTTTAAGGCACACTCATCCCTCCCTTCCATCAATTCCCTTCCCCCCTTTCCATCCCTCTCTTTCTCTCTCTCTTTTTTCAATCCTTACTTTCTTCTTCTCCCCCATATCTCCTTTCCTCCCTCCATTCATCTCCTTCTCTCTCTCTGTCTCTCCTCAATCCTTGCTTTCTTCTCCTCCTCCATATCCCACTACCTTCCTTCAATCCTTCTCTTTCTCTCTCACCTCCACCCTTCCTTTCCTTTCACCTCCATCCTTCCTTTCCTCTCTCCCCCATCCCAACGTCCCTACCATACTCTACCTTTCTTTCTCCCTTCACTCACCTCTTTCTCCCTCTTCTCTCTTTCCTCACCCTTCCTTGCCACTCTCTCCCATCTCCTCTCCCTCCCTTATTATCTCCATCCCTCCTCCCTCTTCTCTCCTTATCCTCATCCTTCTTACTCTAATATAATGAACACCTTTAAATCTCAGCAACTTTTAGTAATTGGATTCTTAATGAATATTGTCTGTAGTTTCGAGTACTTTTGCAATTAGATATTTTTATCCAATCAAATTCGCTTCTTCGTAAAGTTGTAATATTTTTCACTAGGATATAGATCATTGAAAATTATTTAAAGTATTTATATTTTTTCCTTGCAGTGGGTCATGTTGCATAAGGCATTGCTGTTTCCTCACTCTAACCTTTCATCATTGCATAAATAGATATTAAGTTTGACAATATATATATATATATAGATTTTCTTATATAATAGTTTAATGTAATGAAGCATCATGGTTAATATACCATTTTGTTCACACCCACAAATTATTCCATTGGTTTAGGTATTTTAGTTTAATTATGTGTATGTGTGTTTTTAAACTTATATGCCAATTTTACCCTTTTTTTTTTTGCTTTACAGTTACGTCTACAAAAAAAATAAAAAAAAAATATACAGAAAATACAATATTTTTCCGGCAATCTTCATTTCTGTTTTGACACTGATTTGTCTCTTATTTTTTCTGGTTAAATATTTTTTTTTCTTATTTTGTAATTATTAGTAAAATGGAAGAGAAAATAAGTCTTGTCACGTGTTAAAATCGTGGAGATCTTATTTTATTTCTCCATTATACTTCTACAGATATACACACCGCATACATCGCGTTGAGAATGTATACTTGAGTCCAGGGTTATACTCCCGTGGGTTTACTATTGTTACGGGTTATACACTAGGGGGGGTATACTATTGCTCCCAGTTATACACTAGGGGTATACTATTGTTCCGGTTTATACACTAGGGGTATACTATTGTTCCGGGTTATACACTCGGGGTATACCTATTGTTTCGGTTTATACACTAGGGGTATACTATTGTTCCGGGTTATACACTCGGGGTATACCTATTGTTTCGGTTTATACACTAGGGGTATACTATTGTTCCGGGTTATACACTCGGGGTATACCTATTGTTTCGGTTTATACACTAGGGGTATACTATTGTACCTATTGTTCCAGGGTATACACTAAGGAGGGTATACTCTTCCTGGGTATACTCTAGGGGTATACTACATGACTAGTTAATGTTCCCTTGTTCAGTATTGACCACCACACATGACATCCTCTCAAGCCCATAGGTTCGTGGTAACTTTCCAACATCATCGTCTTCTCCAATTAATAATGTTGCCTACAGTGTAACCCAACCCCTCCCAACCTCCCTCCCTCTCCACCTCACCCTCCCCCCCCCTTGTTGTGGACCCCCTCCCCCCCCCCCTTCAGGTACACACACACACACCAGCCACTCAAGTGTTCCTTTTTGTTATATGTTTTGATTTGATTATCTTTTTAATTTGTTTTGGATCTTGTTAAATATTATTGTCTTAGTTATCACAATCCCTTATCCACCTTAACCTAATCATTATTAAATATGTAATTGGTGAAGAAGCCAAGTTAATTATCCTCGGGTTGATTAGTTAACTCATTTTAGATAACGATTAAACAGACGTAAGCAACTATATTATAATTATCATCCACACCCAAAAAAAAAATACTTAAACAATAAACAAAGTAAATATAAAAACAATATACAAACCATAACATATATTTACTTTTTTTTTAGGATTAATTTTCAGAACGGGTTTATGTGAGGTTCATCTGATATTTTTATTATTATTTTTTTTCTTTATCATCATCGTATAAGACAAATGGATGTTAACTATGGGTAAAACCGAAGATTATAGTGTAGTTATAACCAGGTTGTTGATGTGTGAATTATATAACCTCGGTGCTGACTGGAGGCTGAATGAAATATATAACTCACAATCCCCCCATCCCCCCATCGCCCCCCCCCCCTTCTCTTATATGACAAAATGTAGCCCCCCCCCTCCCCCTATATTATATAAATAGTTGGAGAACCTTTAAAAAAATATAGCACTAATGTTTCTTATATATTTTTTTAATTTAGTCTATACTGTTTTTTTTTTCCTTGTTGTTTCCTCCACTATGAAAGATTAAAAATGTGTTTTAAAGTATTTTTGAATTCACCTTCCGGTCAGTTCCTAAAAAAAAAAAAAAGGAGATTTTCCTTAACGAGTGATTCAAAAAAAGAGACAAAAATGTGAGCTAACTCTATTCCTTATGGCAACATTGTTTTTGTTTTTTTCTTTCTTCTCTCCTTCCATGGCATAAACTCTGTGCTTTGCTCGTCACAGTCCAACAGTAAGGTAGGTAGGTTTCCTGGCCAATAGAGATCGCCCGCCCGCCCGCCCCTCCTCCTCCCACCCCACGCATGCCTGTCACAACACTGCACAGAGTCCTACTTGATGTTCTCAATGTTAACCACAGTGTGTTCTTCTACCTCACCACCTGCAATGTTTTCCTCTGTATAATATTTTTTGGGGGAGGTCAGGTTGTCGGCGCCTTAGCAGTTTCTTAAGGAATGGAAAAAAAAAAATATATATATATATATATAAATACTGTATAGTAAAACTTCTATTTAACGGACTATATTGAGAAGAAAGTCCATGATATTGAGAGTCCCTTAGATATGAAACCTCCATATAATGAACTACATAGAGATCAAAGTCCGTTATGTAAAGAGTCTGTTAAATAAGGAAATAACAGATTACATGGAGAGAGAAATCCTTTATATGGAGGTTTCACTCTAATTATTTCTCTTGTTATTTTTATATAATTTCAGCTTCGAGGATTATCAATAACCAATAACTCGATATTAATGTTTTCTTTTTCTTTTTTCAATTTTGTCTCTAGGTGAATCGTCTTCGTTCTGAAACCTCTCTTTTGTAACATTGTGTAAACTAAGAGGAAATATTTGCTATTGTATTTATGAGAAAAATAAAAGGCATAATAGTTATTTAGGAAAATGATGCTTGCCATCGTTGAGATATGACAATAGAAGTGTCGTAGTTACATAGGAGGACCATAGTTAAGATAGGTATGGGTATGCTGTACATAATTACTGTATATCCCGACTATGTATCTGAGTGTATATAGTAGTTACCTACAGCGTGGTTGAGTATTTCAAAGTCGTATGAATTATCCTCTATATAAACACCACAGTTGATTCTGTCGTCAAATACAACACTAAAAAAGAATCACATTAACTTTGCTCTCCTTCATCAGTAGTAGTAGTAGTAGTAGTAGTAGTAGTAGTAGTAGTAGCTGTAGTAATAGTATTAGTGGGAATAACAAATCTTTCAAATTTTATCCTTGCTCTGATTATTCTTCCACAAACACACAAACTCCCACGACTTGCACAACACTCTGGGATCTAGATAAATGAAACACAATGTAAAAAAAAATTACTACAAACTAAAAAATGAGACAAATTTATACAGCCACACTTAAGTCATTGCACTAAATGAGGTTAGGTCATTGCAGTCAAGACACCTCACTCACTGGATGAATACACTGTACTCAAGGGTGTTTACAGCTCACAGTTCTGTCTCAGTTGTAAGAAATAATCACATGAATCAGTTTTGCCATACCTAACATGACAAGAAAAAAAGAAGAGAAATAACTCAACAAACTTATATACAAGGGGTGATCAAAAAGTTCGGTGAATGATACAGCTACCAAGGAATGAGTGAATGGTGATTCGGCTTATCTACAGGGCTTACATCATCCACCATCCTAGTTGCCACCAGCCACTACTACAGTACCCACCCGTGTGCCGTGGCATGGCGTTACCACTTGAAAACAGTCTTCTTGCTTATGGCTTCATCTGCATAAACTGTTTCAAGCATGTTGTTTGTTTCTATCGCCTTCTTGCCAAGCTTAAATCAAAATTTCATGTTTGAATGTCGCTCAAACTGGGACATTTCTACAAATGCACCAGATGCCGTAATCACCTACTCATTCAAAGCTATGCCATGGCTCACTGGCACATACTGTAATAGTGTCTGATGGCTGGTGGCAACTAGGAGGGTGGATGATGTAGAGCCCTGCCCAAAGGCCTAATCACAATTCACTCATTCCTTCTTAATGTTACCATTCACAGAACTTTTTGATCACCCTTTGTATATATGTAAACCAACCCACTACATAAACTAAACATTAAGTACACACTAACATGGAACACAAAATATGTATTCAACACATATTACAGAAAAAGTATTTTTTGGGGCCCATGAACTTCAAAATGAACACTATGTTTCCTGTTGTCTTGGCAGGGTTGTCAAAATCCTTCCTCCGCTGTGTTATACTGTCTCATACAAAATCGTAGGAATACTTTTTTCGAGTGAGTATGCCACACCACTCGATGAACTTTTCGACTATATTGATTATATTCTTAGATACACTTGATTAACACTGACTACACATGTTCTTAACTTGTCATTACACTCAAATGTCTTACTTATCACCGTTATGCTTATTGCCTGATGATGAGAGAACTTTGCAATAAGAACGAACTGAGAAGCAGGTGTATTACAGGTATCTGGTGAAATTGACCCTCTTATTCTAGAGGTTAGGCTAGGTTAGATTAGGCTATAGTTAGGTTCGGTTGGGTTAGTTTAGGTTAGGTTAAGTAAGGTTACATTAGGTTGGGAAGTTATCAGAAGTTAGAAACCATTAAAACTGTGGATACAATTGACCAAAAGGCTTAAGTGTTGCCATTATCCAACACTGTGTGGTCAAGACTATCCAGCACCGCCACGTGTTTCATCTGTAAACAAACCTGAAAAACCTCTTTGTACCGAGCTCCTCAACCACGTTTCGCTATGCTCATACGTGCATGAAACTAGTAGTGACAACTGTTCTCTCTCTTACTCTATCCTTCTCTCTCTTTCTATCTCTCTCTCACTCTTTATCTGTCTCACCTCCGCACTACTTAGTCGACGCACTGGTTACCCAATGCATTGATTAATCGTACGCATGAGGTAATTGACTTGGATAATGCAGGTAAACTCACGCATGGATTAACTGACGCACAGGTACTTTTTTTTTTACCGAATGCATGGGTTTGAACGCACCAGTCACACACACACACACACACACATACACACACACACACACACACGTACATTTTTCATATTTTTTCTTCTTCATTTTCCTTTACTTCTTCTCTATTTTTCACTTCTCTCTATCTCTATTAATCTATCATTAGGAATCTGTCTATGCGTATTACAACACTCGTACATTTATCTTACTCCTGCCTCTGATTTACCACATGTAGACGACTTCTTAAAGAGTTAACTGTTTATATCTGAATCAAGTGTTTTTTTGTTTTTTATACATATTTTTACTGAGTTTTATGTTTGTTTGTTTTTTCACTGTTTTTGTTTGTTTGTTTGTTTGTTGATGGGAATTAATCACAGTTGTTTTGTAAATCTCACGAAATTCTACAATTATATAGGTTAATTATTACTTAGTATTTATCCTCTTTGTTTGTTTGTTTGTTTGTTTGTTTTGGTTGTATTCTTTCTTTAGTTCTAAGCTCTGTTCTGAATCGAAATTTTTCCTCCCCTTTTCTTCATGTTTATCTCTTTCTTTTCCTTATTACCTCAAATCTATTCCTTTTCGAACCTGTCCGGACCTTTCACCTGTATATAAAAAAGAAGATATTTATATAGCAAATTATCTCTAATATTTCATTTTACATTTTCAGCTTCAGTGAAATGATTCATCTTCTTGCTGTACAATATCCCACTGTTACAATATGACTCTCTCTCTATATATATATATTTTGCTATTTTTTATTATTATTATTAATCATTCCTCAGACAAATCTATATTCACTTGAGGCACAACGATAGACGCACTTCATGGCACCTACAGGCTTAATCTTCCTGTTCATGACTTGAAATAATATAAATTTTTCATGGCTTCTCTTGGCACCTCTTGGTATAACCTCTTGATAAGCTCTTGGAAAAAAAATATTTTCGAGTTTCTGTCAATTATAAGTAAAAAAAAAAAGTAACTTAACACTGAAAAAAAAATGGTATATGTTATT